CGGGCGGAAAAATGGCCGCTGACCACGTGGAACGGGCGGAAAAATGGCCGCGGACCACGTGGTACGGGCGGAAAAATGGGTGCGGACCACGCGGCAGGGCGGAAAAACGGCTGCGGGCCACGTGGCATGGGCGGAAAAATGGCTGTGGACCACGTGGAATGGGCGGGAAATGGCAGCAGACCACGTGGAACGGGTGGAAAATGGTCACAGATCCGGTTCGTAAGTCGAGGTGAGTTCGTAAGTAGAGGTACATTTTTGGGGCCGGAGCTGATCGAATCTCAAAAAATTCATAAGTAGGGGCGTTCGTAAGTAGAGGTACCACTGTACAGGCATACCTCGTTTTATTGCACTTCACTACTGAACTTCGCAGGTATTTTTTTTTTTTTTTTTCCAAATTGAAGGTTTGGGGCAACCCTGTGTCAAGCAAGTCTATTGGACGATGATTAGCATTTTTTAGCAATAAAGTATTCTTTAATGAAGGTATGTACATTGTTTAGACATAATGCTATTGCACACTTAATAGTATAGTGTAAACATAACTTTTATATGCCCCTGGAAACCAAAAAAATTGTGTGACTGGCTTGATTATGATATTCGCTTTATTGCGGTGGTCTGGAACCGAACCCGCAATATCTCCAAGTTATGCCTGTAATGGTAATGAGGCTTTTTATCACTTCAATAACGGCTGGGTGATATGATGAAGATGCTTTAAGTCACTAGGGGGGAAATGGCCATTAGTGGACCCATGATAATCATGTTATGTCAGATCTGAATTTTCATGAGTTACATTGATGAGAAGGGGTTCCCTTTTTTCTGTACCTTCTTTAATCTCTTTTGAATGTTCAGTGCTAGTGGCTGTTACTCCCTACAGGGGTGAAGAACTTCTGTTTGAAACCTTCATTCAAGCATTCTGAGGCTGTTTAGCATTTACAGTGTCCACTTATTTTCCTCCATAACTAATATTTGATTACATTGTCTTGAAGCTTCACAACCCTCTCAGAAGTCACCCACTAGCCCCTGACCATGGCACAAAGATGCCTTGGTATTGCCCTGGTCTCTTCCCCAGAACTCAGCTGAGGGACCTTAAAGTTGTCTTAGCTCTTCCAGTTTTAAAGTAATGCTTTTCCTCTTCTTAATTTTTACTATGGATACGATTTAGGATATTTCATCAATGATGTGGTTGCTGTGATGGAATGGAATTATGAAGGCCAAGCTCAGGGAGATAAACATGGGAAGACTGATGTCAAGCCTAGCCCAAGGAACTCCAAGAGACAATGCCAATTCAGTCCAGCTATGTTTATTAGCTACAACCTCAATGGAATTATGAAGGCCAAGCTCAGGGAGATAAACATGGGAAGACTGATGTCAAGCCTAGCCCAAGGAACTCCAAGAGACAATGCCAATTCAGTCCAGCTATGTTTATTAGCTACAACCTCAATGGAATTATGAAGGCCAAGCTCAGGGAGATAAACATGGGAAGACTGATGTCAAGCCTAGCCCAAGGAACTCCAAGAGACAATGCCAATTCAGTCCAGCTATGTTTATTAGCTACAACCTCTAGCAAGAATCTTCCCAGACTAAAACCCCAGTTCCCAAAGTCCTCCAGCCACAACAGTGTGAATTCCTCAGGGAGGTGCCAGTCTCATCCTCTTGTTCCTCCCACGCGGTTCTGGTGAGCTAAGAAAATGTTTATCTCCCTGAGCTTGGCCTTCATAATTCCATTCCATCACAGTTGCTAACACAGTTGGAGCTAGGATCTACTCAACTCCTATTGGCCAATTGTGGCTGCTGTGGGGACACTTTCTCCTCTCTAGTCACTGGGCATTGCCTTGAATGGGTTTTTGGCTTGGGTTGCAGGAGAGACTGGACACCTGGCTTCTGCAGAAGCAGCTGCCCATTAATATCTAACTGATGCTTTCTGAACTTGTCTTGCATTGAAAAGGTAAGGACAGTAGTACTTGCTCATCCCATTTCTGAAGCAGAACAGGGCTCAGTCATTGGCTAGTGGAATTTATGCTGGCAGACTTTTCTGATGACGCCAGGACTGGGGGACAGCACATTAACACAGCCATGTGGCTGGTCTGGTTCCTTACATGTTTCCTGGCCCATTAATGGACACTCTGTTGTACCAAGATAGACGTCTATGGTGCTCTCAGTGTAAAGTCAGCTCCCTGACTCCAAAGAGCTTATCATCTGAAATTCATAGTGGGAAGAAATAACATACAGAAAGATATCTAAGAATACCAATACAAGAGGGATGTGAGCAAATCCAATTATATATGTGTAAAAAACTAAGGTTCTACTGAGCATGGGAAATGGTGCCCTTTTGTTTGAGCCAACACTTTAAAGAAAGGCTGGTGAACTTGTACCTTCAGATGTGGCTGGATTCCAGCTCCCATCAGCTCCCATCAGTAAAGAGAGTCAGAGTCTCTAAAAAACCTTGGTGCACCATTCTGGCATTCTCTATCCCCAAACACAGTGCCATACGAACAGTCCCTTCACTGGGCTGATTTTGGGAGTTAGGACGAAGAGAATAAGCTGAAGACTGAGGAGAAAAGATGGAAACTGAAGAGGGAGGGTAGCTATGTCTTTGGCCAATAATATGTGTTCTGCCCCAAATGTCTTGTGTTGCTTTCCATATGTAATCAACTGCTTTTAATTTATCCTCCCATTCCATGAAGAGCATCGATTTCCCCTTCAGTTTCATGGCCATAACCATCCTCATCATAGCCATCCAAATCCTAAAATCGTCTGATGCTCAACCAAGCCTGGAAGCAATTTGATCCAAGGAGATCCCAGAGTTATCTGCATGGGCCAACCGTCCCAGGAATCCTCCTTTGGAAAATGTAACCACCCAGCATCCACACCCCATGAGAGCAGCTGAAAACCATAGCTCCTTTTGCATGATCATTTCTCTATCATATATCATTCCTAATCATTCTCTACAACCAGCCTCTGTTTGGAGCTGAAAAGATCTTCATTTGCATTTTTACTGTCCTGTGAGTTAATCCCCTTCAACTTGCCCTTGCTTTGAAACAGTAAACTTAGTTTGGACTTTGAGAAACTTTGGAAAGTTACCAAATTAAGCTGCCTGTTAATTGAGAGTCACATACATTCCCATGAGAGCAGAATATTACTCAGAGCTTAATGAGTGATCAGATTCATGTGGAGAAAAGCTTCACTTGCTGATTTCAAATACTCTTAAGGGCATAAGACTAGTCCTGATCAAAAGCTGACATCCCTAGATGTCAAACTATTCCTGACTTTGCCACCTTCTGGATCCAGGCTCCACAACACCCTCATTTAATGCACAGAAAAACAAGGAAGAGCTCTTACCTATAGCTGCCAGTGATTGCAACTTCTCCATCAACCAGGAGAAATTTCTCCTTCAGGGTTCCTGTGATCTGTTTCCGGCATCTGCTTTGGAATGTGCAGCCACAGAGAGTTCTGACTCGCAGGTTCTAAACATGGAAAAGATAACAGAAAGGCCTGTTATATATTTTTTATCCTTGCACTATGTCTGCGAAGAGGCCACTTGGTTGCAGTTTATAATAATGCACATGGGTAACTAGTTGCTCCCATTTATCTAGAACAGTGTTTGCCAACCATGTCAGTTTCCAGGTATGGGGACCCCCAGAATTCCACAGCCAGCATGGCCATTGATGAGAATTCTAACCAATGATCTAGAATCACTGATCTAGAAGAAGCTTCATTGACCAAATGTTAGTCAGCTCATCTAGAAGACAGCATTTTTGGAAAGCTCCTCTAGAAGAAAAACTTGCTGATTGATTCAGTATCAAAACATTGGACAAGGGGCACAATGAAAGATTTTGGGGACATTTTAATATCCTAAGCCACATTTCAATGGATCTCAGATTACTTCAATGTCACCATAAAAATACTGGTATACGTAATCAAAAGGAGGGCATTTTAGCTCATTAACCTTGGATAATTTTGCCTGAAAAAAATTGTACCTTTAAAAAAATGTTCTACTATATTTTCTATTGTCTGGGAACCTGCGAGTCAGGTTCCCAGCCAATTAGGGTTCCCTTTTTTAGTAATGTTTTTAAATGGATGTTTTATGTATTTATATATATTTATGGTTTTAATTTTCTGTGTGAGTCACCCAGAGTTCCCCCATTGGGGGGAGATGGGCAGGGGAGAAATGTAATTAATAAACAAACAAACAAATAAATAAATAAATAAAATACAACAACAGCCAAGCACCCCAATGGCGCACACACAAATTTACAATAAAAATATAAACTCATATTTATTTTATTCTATTTGCATGCCCATCTTTCTTTCAAGGAACCGAAGACTACATTTATTTATTTTGGCTTATATGCCACTCTGTTCCCAAAGATTCTGACTGGTTTACAACTTGTAAGACAAAATATGTCATTCCCTCTGATATGAGACCCTTAGTAAGCCCTTCATTCTAGATCTCACTGGGTGGGTGGACTCAACAGTCTTGGTGCTATGCAGGCCCTTCATCCTTTTATTAGCACTAAAACTTGGCAAGGTAGATTTCCCAAAGATTACTTAGTACATTTTATAGCCAAGTCAGGATTTGGAACCCGAGTCTTCCCCAATACTCTTGGATATTCTTAAGCACTGCTTGATATATTATCTAACCAACATTAAAAAAACCACACAATTAACAAGCTTGGCAAATCCTACGTGAAAAGATGTGCTTTGCATTTAAAATTAAAGGGAGTTACAACTATGATGATGAGGATGAGGATGAGGATGATGAAAATTGCATTTGTACCCCCAGAGGCCACTCAGTGTTTCAACCTACTTGCTCAGTAAAGCTAATTCCAAAGACTCCATTGACAAAATCTTGCTCCTATGTTTGGCAAATGCCAACATTAATGTATGTCTATTGGGGGAGGGGGCATTTTAAAGCAAACCATGTGATAATTAAGTGAATTTAGCTCATGCTGAGATGCTGCTCTCTAGGGGTGGGTACTGTTTAGAAACTGAAGGATTCCCCTATTCACCTCCGTGTGACGGACGTTAAGGCAAGTTTTCTCGGCCATGGAGAGGAAGGAGAGAAGATGCTGCTGGCTGAGCACAAGGTAGACCGGTACCCGCCGCCTGATTGCCGCATCGTACAGATCTAACAGAATATCGGGGTCTGTGAAAACATCCATGACTATAGCAATCACCTAGAAAAGAAACCATTTGCTCATGAGACCAGCCGAAGGTTTGGAATCTTGCTTTCAAAACAAAATCTACCTAAAACAACAGCAAAGTGAGTCAAATCCAGCTTGCAGAATTATATGAATGAGGAATGTGCACATCAGGGTATTCACAGGGGCGGTTTAAAAAAAGTCAACACAGCGGCTTCAAACACCTTGACCTTTTTGACCCCCCTTCCCAACACCCATGGCACACGCACGTTACTTGATTTATATCCATCGTGTGGGCTCAGATGCTTTTGGGTTTTTTTGCTTTGGTTTCAACCCAAGAGAAGAGTCTTTTTCTAATTGACTTTCCTGGATAGGGAAAGTGGGGAAGATTCTATACGTTTTATGGGCAAGTGCAGATAGAAATGAAGTAGGTATATTATAGAACCTTTTACTAGCCAGATTAATCTGTAAAATATAGTTTTAATGAATCAAAAAGGCACCCTTAGTTAAGAGGCTAGTCCATTAAAACATTCTAATATTTATACTTTTCAAAGTTGAAGTTGGCATACGTGATGTTATAAAAAAACTCCCCTATCATCCTTATATGATAGGATACTCTTCTGCTTGATGTCTGTTATCCAGGCATACCTTGGAGATATTGGGGGTTTGGTTCCCAACCACCACAATAAAGTGAGTATCACAGTAAAGTCACACAATTTTTTTGGTTTCCCAGTGCATATAAACGTTATGTTTACACTATACCATAGTCTATTCAGTGTGCAATAGCATTATGTCTAAAAAAAAATGTACATACCTTAATTAAAAAATACTTTATTGCTAAAAAATGCTAATCATCATCTGAGCCTTTTGCTGTTGAAAAAATGGCGCGGATAGGCTTGTTTGATGCAGGGTTGCCACAAACCTTCAATTTGTAAAAAGCACAATAAAGTGAAGCACAATAAAACGAGGTATGCCTGTACTAGAACGGCACTATCTTCAAACAAAGACATATTTTCTGCCTCTAAACCAGTGTTTCTCAACCTTGGCACCTTAAGCTGTGTGGACTTTAACTCCCAGAATTCCCCAGCCAGCATTCTGGGGGGGGGGGGAATTCTGGGAGTTGAAGTCCAAACAGCTTAAGGTTGCCAAGGTTGAGAAACCCTGCTCTAAACTATTATTTTACTGATATGCTGACTTACAATGCATATAGAAATTGACAATGCATTGCATTTTTGGAAGGGGAGACAAGATGATAAAGATTTTTGTGTGGCGTTAATAATGGGAAACGTCTTACTTTTGGGAATATGCCATTTTCTGTGGAATAGCTTTCTTAAAACCCTCCACATATTTTCTCACTTTTTTTTCATATCCAGGAGGAAAATGCCCAATGCTACCTTTCCTTCATACCTTGTGGGCTTGTTGGATACATCTGCGTACCATTTCCTTGATATGTGGCGCTCCTTCTCCTGGTGGGTGGGTATAGACTTCCGCTCGAGTAATCCCTTTCCAAACCCCACTGTCTGGCCACCCTAGCTCCAGATTTGGAGGTGGATCCTCTGAACGTCGAGGCCAGTAGCTGAGACTAGATCCCTTCGTTCCAAAGCTGTAAGTTCCTGTTCCGCCTGAAGGGGGAGCCTGTAATTCTTCTGCAGTTGCTGCCACCTTTAATTCCTGCAATTCGCTGTCTGACAGAAAGGGGCGGAGCTTTTCATGGGAAAGGCATTCATTGAAGGCTTCCTCACCTTTGCCAAGTAGAGCTTCGAGGGCCAACCGCTGACCTTCACAGTAATAAAATTCAGGGTTTGATTCGGTTACTTTAATGTAGGGCTCTTCACTCTCCAAGCAGCGGATCTGCGAACCAGCCATGGCCTTTGAGAACAGAATGTGCAATTCTAAATTGTGTGCAGGATACCCCTATCACTGGAGTGAGTCACTGTCCTTTCTTTCTGCCTGCCGGCATTTGCAATGCTGTAGAGGAGGAATTCTTCCTTGTCCAGCCTTACAATCTTAGAACATGAATGTGAACGTTTCCTTTACCATAACCCCTTGCTCCCAATATTTTCCTAAATTCCCAAGAGGGAAACACCTTCCCCAAGTGCCTGTTAGTATTGCTTTAACTTAGTAACAATGATCCTTGCTTTATCATATATTATTGCTCTATCCTTTAATCTTCCACCTTGATTCAAAGGATGTTAGATGGCCAACTGACCACAAGAAAAGAAGAATACAGGCAAGGCTGGTCAGCTACTTGCAGCAAGGCAACCAGTCAAACAGCATTAGCAAACTATGCAGCTGTTTCTATATTAACAGGCTTCATTTGGTGGAAAGAGAAAGGAATAAAATGGGAAAATATAGGTTACAGATGGCAGAGGACATTGTTTGCACCTCTCTGACCCACCCCACAAAATTTTATAAATGAAGCAAAGCAGCTGAAAAGGACTATGATTAATTATAAATGTACCACCCTAACTGGGGTAAATGCTCATTCCAGACACTTACAGCAGCTAGGAGAGTCCTACACAACTCTTTCTTTTGGTCTGAATAACCTAATGTTTGACTAGCCTCTCTGTTCAGACCACTGGCCACCTTAGACTGCTATCTTGATCTAGAGGATAGGCCCTATTTTTCCCCATCAGGATCAAACAGAGTATACTCCTTTAATCCCAAATCTCAGTTCCATGACTGGGATAGAGAGAATTAACAACCTAAAACCCTTATTCTAATCCTAACCTAAAGGATATACTGATCTATAAAAGTATCAGGGTGTGTTCCTGGCAATCACTGCCTAATATGGTGGAGACAAGTGCCCTAAAATGTAAAATAAATATTGTGATAAAGACAAGTCAATTTAGGAGAAGGGGAACACAAAACTGCAATATCTTCTTAGGTTTTAATTTAGGTGTACAATTTAGCTAAAAATTCCTGTGAAACTCACCGAGTTCTGTCTGTTATCCCTTCTGTTTGCAATTACTCTTCCTTCCCATTGATAAATATAATGGAATAATTCATTTGAAGCCTGGAACTGACTATGCAAATCTCCAGTCAAGTTACTGATCTCTTTCTACACAGCTATGCTCTGAAGGTTTCACCTAAAATGACAACATTGGAAGAGCTGGTTGAGCCAGGTGTAGAAAGAAGAGAAGAATGCTTGGATTCTGGATAAGCAGAAGCAAAAAAAGGAAAGAAAGAAAAAAAGAGCTCAACAACTAGGGCAGAGGCCTAGACTGAAACTAGCAAGATGAGAATAAGAAAATGTAGAATTTGGGGATAGGAAAAAGGATCTAGAGGGCCATGGGAAAGCATCCGAGAGCAGAAATTCACTAGGCTTTCACAGTGGGATTGTAAAACAGGTCAGGGACCATCAGAATATTATCTTGCTTTGCCTGGACATACATGAAGGAACATCATGAGAACATTACTCTTCTTTTTTTAACCAAATCTTCTATTCTGTTCCCCCCACTTGGTATCTGACAACAGTCTGTGTTTGTGCATATGTAAAAGAATCTTCATATGTCTCCATAAAGCCCAAACATTTTTCCTAATAGGTAAGTCTTTGTTTTCTCATTTCAGAGGACTTTACCACACTTGCAGTAAATAGCTGCTCATGAATACAAACACATCAAAAAGCACTTTTTAAAAAACTATTCTCTTTTGGGCCCAAATGTTGATTATGAAAAGGCATCTTCTTCTGGGCTAAGTAAGATCCAGAAATTACCTGCAGCCAATCAACAAATAAAATAATCTACACTCATTAACTGCTGGGATATTTGTTATATTATTCAGTGAATAAACAATTGAGAAATATATCTGAATCTATTCTGTTTTCTTTTCTGAAGTGAATAAACAATGTTAAGTTCTTAGCTAAAACAAACTTGCTTTCTTGAGTCATGCAAAACTCAGAGATTCTCAGAGTTTTCAGCCAATGAAAGCCACCTGGAACAAATCTGTGAAGGGCTAATAGACATGAAAGTTCCACTTTCCGGTCAGTCAGCAAAACAGTCTTCTAATTCCAGATTATGCGAATTTGCAATACATTTGCCTTGACAGGTTAATCCACATTCCACAATCTTTCCTTCTTTTAGCCTATCAACAATATGGGATGGGCTCCTCTTATCCAATCAGATTTCACAGTTGTAACATCTGGATTCTCATGTAACAAATAGATAAAAATGTCTTCTTCAACCAGCTGTTAATTCTCTTGTCATTTGGATGTTAAGACAGTTTTAAGAAAGCTAGTTGGATGCTCTCTCCCATTATTATATAATCCCAGTCTAATGGTTGGGGGAGATGTTACATTTCTTCATTTTTTATAGGAGTAGAGGAAAAAAATCTCAGCAAGCAGGAATCACTAGTTTGTAGAAGGATAGCCTTGCACAGCTGCAAATACTTTTGCTTGAAAAAGCATCTGTTCTTCTGGTTACAGTTCCTACAGTGTTCAGGAAGAGAAAATGGTTCAATAGGATTTTTTTTTTTCATTATGGTTTATTCTTCAGGGGAATGCAAGAAATAGTACTTTACAAGAGGGATGGACCAACTGTGGTATCCCAGATATTGCTAGAATACAATTCTCATGCTGGCTAGAGCTGATGGGAAGTAAAATTCAGCATCTGTAGAGCCAAATGTTACATGTTATTTTCCAAGGTTGTGATTATCCTGAGAAACAGTAATTTTTGCTGAGTTCTTCTCCAACTGCAGCAAGTCAGGTACAAGTAAGATTATGATCTAGTTTGTTTGTTCTTAGCTTTCCCTTTATTATGGCTGTGAATTCGAAGGTTTTTCAAAACCAAGGGAGAGTTAGATGTTAGAGGTCACAGCCCCAGTTTCCCCTAGAAGGACAGGAACACCCCATGGAATCAGCAAATGTTTTGCTTATAAGCCTGCTTCCTGCCCCATTCCACTCATGCTTTTCCAGGGATACCCTGACACCCCACCTCTTTTAAAGATGTCCTCCACCTTTAAAAGGGGCACAATGGAAGAAAACTTACTCTTTCTCCCAAGAATACTTTCCTCCTCTTAAATGTGCAAAGCCAAAGTGGAGGAATGAGGGGAAACATTGTGACTATTGATCCATAAAAACCTCATGTAAGATGGCCAGATATAAGCAGAAGTTACAGCCCCAGAGTTCTTGGTAGTTAGTTGGAAATCGCTTCTATACATTCCTCCCTGTGCACCACCTCCATTACAACTAGCCACATTTTACGCCAACTGTGCCCCCCAGCCATCATGCTCCCCTATGTATCACTTGCATCGCCCTTATCAAAGGAATGGGGGGGGGGTAGGAACAGGCAGCTTCCCACCACCTCTGCTGCCTCCTTCTTGCTGCACTTCGTAAGCACTGGTGAAGGCTGTGTGTTTCCCCTTCACCAAGTCAGGAAACTCAGCAACCTCTTTGAAAAGCCCTCCTGACTTTTAAGCTCTACCTTTGAAGTCATGTCTGTAGCACAGGAGGAACCCCTTTCTCCAAAGGTTAGGAGACCTACTCTTTCCCTTTGGGCTGCACAGCTCATACTCCCTTTGTACTTTTGCACACATACCTTCCTTCTTAAGAGTTCCGGGTATGCATCCTGTTTCATTTCACCTGTTCACTATTGTTTCGGATGAGAGGAAACTAGCAGATCTCATGCTGAGTCCAGAGGCTGGCTTTGAAGGTTTAGGTCCCTCGTTTCTCTGTCTTCCCCAAATAACTTGGGGTGTGTGTGTTCTTCAGCAACTCCTTTCTTTGGTGCCTGTTACCAGGCAGAGTCAATGCAACGCACTGATCCAGGAAGTCCAGGGCTTGTATGCAATCGCACAGCACCTGTTGGGAGTCTGGCCGCCAAGGAAACTTAGAGGAATCACCCTCCCTTGTAAGCAAATAATGTAGCCTGCGGAGAATTGCAATTAATGAGACAACTTTGCAGCAAGCAAAGGGGAGGGAGGAGAAAAGGGGAGGCTGGAGTGCTTGACCTCTTCTTTTAACAAGTTGGGAGTAGGGGCTACCCCTCTTCTTCAGCCTTAACTCTGGGGATCACCGAGGGGCAAAGGAAATCTGATACTGTAGTTACATGTCAGGCTGTATTTCCTAAGTAAGCTTCTCTTTGAGGGTGAAAAATGTCAGTAGATATTTCTTTCACTGCTGTAACATTCAGTCCTCCCCCATCCCCTCAAGGTTCAGAAGAAGTTGTGTCTTCCAGAAATTCAAAGCATGTTGCTTCGTCACTGGAAAAGGAGCTTCTTCCCTCAGATAACAGGTCCATTGTCACTGTTGAATGGAAAGAAAAGAACCTACTGACTATTGCCTATTACGTCATTCATTAACCTATCTCATTCTCTCAACTAATTTCATTGTGTGTGTGGGATCATGTGTAATGTTGGAGTGGAACTGGGGTAATGCAGGTTCCCAATCCATCCTCAGCCAGGGATGGGTGATTCTAAAGGCCAGCTACTATCCCTGAATGGATATGGGGGGGAAATTGGAGGTGATTTTGCTACATCAATTGACTTAACTGTTTATAGCAGGGTTTGTCAACCTTGGCAACTTTAAGATGGGTGGACTTCAATTCCCAGAATTCCCCAGCCAACCTTGCTGGCTGGGGAATTCTGGAAGTTGAAGTCCACTCATCTTAAAGTTGCCAAGGTTGAGGAACCCTGGTTTATAGGAAACACAGGACCTGAAACTAATGCCTGAACCAGTGTTTCTCAACCTTAGCAACTTTAAGATGCTGGCTGGGGATTTCTGGGAGTTGAAGTCCAGACATCTTAAAGTTGCTAAGGTTGAGAAACACTGGCCTAAACTGTTCTCTTGAGAGTGTGCTCTTTCCTAAAGTCCTAAACTCTTAAACAGAAGTGAGGAACCAAAAGTCTTCTGGATATTGTTGGAGACCATTAGCCCACAAATGGTCAAGGGATCATGGGAGTCATCATCCAAAAAAATATCTAGCTCTTTTTTTAAAAAAGGATAAACAGGAGCAAAGTAAATGCCTCCCATCACTATAAAATTGTGAGGGGTATTGGAGAACTTGATTAACTCCCCCCCTCCCAAATTGCAAAAGAGCAATTAAGATATCAGAATTATGCAGGTCAAACACAGCTTCCCTAGTTCCTTTCCCAGGCTTTCTGTAGATTTTATTTTTTTGACCACATTTGGCAATCTGCTTAAAAAAAAATATCTTATGTTCTGAATATCCTTGTGCCTCATCTTCCCACCTCCAACCTATCCTTTCTCCCCCACATGGTCTTTGATGAGAAGAAAACCCTGTTTGTTGGCTAAAGTGCTCATCCCGTGTGACTGCTGATACAATTCTGCAGTGATTGTGAAAAACGTACAGCAGCTGAGATCAGGCAAATTGCAAGCATCTGTCTGAACTCTGGACCTGAATCATTGCTCCCCATTCAGGAGAAAAATCTGTACACTTGGTGTTACTCCCTAGTGAAGAAATTATGACCTGACCCCAGCAATCCATATCTATAGCTTCAGGAGGTGGATAATTGTCTACATCATTTACTTACCCGTTTCTTCTCTTTGGAAAGAATTGTTCATTGTACTATTGCTGCAACAAATAACAAACTCAATTAGCAAACTAAGAAAAGCCAAACATGAGTTTTTACTAAATGGCAGATGTAGCTTCGTGATGTTCCAGTGGATACGCTCTGCACATTTGGTCAAATCCATTGTTGAGAAAAATCACAATAGTAAAGGGCATATCATATGGTGTGAATTCTTTGTTTTTCTAGCTGAGATTATTTTCACCATCATGCTTCAGTCAAAAATTGTATATTCTCATTATCTTGTTTTTCTTGACCATTTATTTGTCACCATAAATTGGATATGTTAAAGTACATGCAAAATGGTTCATTTCATGGTGGTGGCTCTAATGAAAATTGTTTTCTAGGTATGGGTTCATTTATTTTTTAATTAAGTATTCACATGAGGTATATACACTGGGGCAGGGGATAACAACTTGAGGGACCAGGGATGCCTATGTCCCCAAAAGGTTTGGGAAGGATCTTCAGAACTCTTCCAAATATTGCTCTGGAATTATGTTTAATGTGATGGAAGGGGAAATGGTTAAATACATGAGGAGTAATCATATTAATTGAGAGGTGGTTTGGTGTAGTAGTTAAAGGCACTGGGCTGCAAAACAGGAGACTGTGGGTTCTAGTTGTACTTTAGTCACAAAGCCAGCTGGGTGACTCTGGGCCAGGAAGAAGGTGATGACAAATTACTTCTCAAATGTTGCCAAGAAAACTGCAGAAACTTGCCCATGTTGGCATCAGGATTCAAAATTGATTTAAAGACACAATATTATAATCATTTTCATTGTAGTTTTAATTAATTGGCTTTTCACAACACTGTTGTGAAATCCAATCACATTTAGTTTCTGTCCAGGTCTTGCTCCCTTCTTTGTTCAGTCTGTGTGATTCTTGTCCTGCTGCTAAAAGGCCAACAGAAGCTCCCCATTGGAAGAGATGATGCCACCAGGGTTGAGCAACAGATCCCACTTCACCCTCTCCAACCAGAGAATAAATTAGACCAGGAGTCCCCAATCACTTGGGGCCAGTCAGCACATCTGGAGCTTGTAATGGGTGCTCTCACAAAATGATTGCCGTCTTAGATGTGGCCAACATGGACCCGAAGGCAAACTAAGCATTGGCCTGATTGTCTCTATCAGTGTGCATGTTGGCCCTTTGAGGTGGGCCAGGTCAGGAAACAGACACCACTGGGATTCCAGGAATGAAATTTTAGGATTTAGTAATAAAATTTTAAATGTCTGTCAACAACCTTCACTGCCCCCTTTTTAAGAAGGTGGAGCTATTCTGAAACTCCTTCTCAGTCCTTCTACTTTCTCACAACTGATAAACTGTTTTATCTCTCCAACTTTCTTCTCGAGGCCAGAGCTAAATTCCCCTTCAGTATAGGATCATGGAGGATTAGTTTTGTTCTAATGAAACTGTGGTTCCCTTGCCAGCCAGCAGAACTCAGACAGAATAATCTTGTAGACTGCACGTTCCCTTGAGTAAGACATGGCTCTTGGTCATTTATAGAGTTAGATTATCCCAGTCCCTCCCTCTAGTGGAGATATAAACACATATGTATTTAAAAACTTTGATCATGTTAAAAGTGAGGCAGAATTCAGAAGGAAACTGCAAACCAAAACTGAGGAAAGCATAGAGTTAATATTGTGCTATAGCAACCTCAGATTATAGTCTTCCAGGATGAAGGGAAGTCCAGGTAAAAGGAGACAGAGGGAACATCAGTTTCAAGAGGATTCTATTTTGTATTTACTAGATAACAAGTGTAGCAAGGAATTTGCACAAGGAGTTTTATTTTTGTTTTACTGTGCTATGTTAACATCTCATGGACTTTATTTCTGTCTACAAGTTCAGGAAATGCTCACACTTCAGCCTTTTGTGCATATCTCAGGCAAGTACAGGAAGATGCTTCTTTTATGTAGAATATTTTTGTGATCTATAATAATAATTTGGAAATTTTTAGCATCTCTTGTCAGAAAGCATTTATTTGTAGCAGACCACTGCCCTTTTCTGGTGTACCTGAAGTATTGCATTCTCTTTTGGAATTTTCTTTTACAGGTAGTCCTTGCTTAGCAACCACAACAGGGCCCAGAAAATTCATTGTTAAGTGGGGTGGTTGTTAAGCGAGTCATGCCCGATTTTGCGACCTTTTTTGCAGTGGTCATTAAGCAAATCATCATGGCCATTAAGTGAATCACAAGGTCATTAAGCGAATCATGCTGTTCCCCATTGTTTTTGCTTGCTGGAAGCCAGCTGGGAAGGTCACAAATGGCAATCATATGACCCTGGGATGCTGCAACCGTCATAAGTGTGAGCTGGCTGCTAAGCGCCCAGATTGCGATCACGTGACTGTGGGGTGCTGCAGTGGTTGTAAGTGCGAGGACTGGTTGTAAGTCCCTTTGTTCAGCACTGTTGTACTTTGAACAGTCACTAAATAAATGGTTGTTAAGTGAGGACTACCTGTATAAGTTGCCACTTGTATCTTTGTGATTTGATCAGCTGTATAATCTATCTTTACCGGCACTGAGTATTTGAATGTTAATATTTAAAGTAAAAAAGGGGTTACAGTTATCTTTTCTTTTTAAATAAAGTTTGTTTTTTTAATATCTGGTGAGATTAGTCTAAGTTCCAGGGAAATATGGTTGAATGATTTAGTCATAAGCCTCTATGCTCTGTGGTGAGGAGTTGCACCATTAAAATTATTTCACTGCTTGCATTTTTAACATTTAATTGCCAGAAAGGCAGCACAGGTTATTAGAGCCCTGTCTCTCACACATACTGAGATTATGGTGTGCTACTCCCTGGCAGATAGGTGGCGGCAGCAAGAACTACAAAGCTGCTACCCAAAGCAAGAGGCAGGACCAGGATGCACAAAGGGCTTCTGGGAAAAGAACTTTGAGACCTCCATCCTTCCACTCCATGGGCTCAGCTGTCTGCTACAGTTGCATTCCAATACCTTATAATCCAATATTTCAGTACTATTCTTTTTTTTTTTTAAACTTCAGTCCTAGGTTAGGGTTTTTTTTAAAATGTAGTTGCAGCACCTTTGACCTAAGAGGATTGACAAAATACTGATGAAACTTTTTAGGATATTGTGATATGCAACTTCAGCCCCTATAATTACTTTCTGTTCAGTGAGGTCACAGGACTTCTGAATTTCCCCTTTTTTTCTTTGTGGGGGGATGAGTCGGCTTTATTTTAGTTATTTCTCATTAAATTTCCGTTTTCTTTCAGTAATGAGAGAAAACTAGCAATTAACTATCACCATTCCGCCAACAGCAGGAGTAGA